GGTTATAGTGGGCGAGGGTTTGATTTAATTTCACAAAGGTGGTGCGAATCTGACAGAGCATGTTGAATTCTACTTGGAGACTAACATTTCAGAGTTGGAGACTAATTTATGGCGAATCCATTCACGAAATACTCGAATCTTGACCTAAGATATCCTACGTCAATAATTTTCATCAAAAGATTTAAATTGCTCGGAAATAACAGGAGATTATTTCGTTTCGTTCGATCAATAACATATATATCAATGAATGGCTTTTCTTGAAGGTAAATAGATTAAGGTGAGTAAAAGAATCTCACTCACCCTCATCCTCGAGACAGTAATAAGACTTTCCGAATGTAGTAACGATAGTTAACAAGGTTTTCTTCTGTAGCAATAGTTTCCATTACTATTTCAACATCATTATTCTGTATTCAGTTTTCTGAAATCTAACCTAATCTTATTAGCAATTGTCTCAAAACTCGCATATGGGCATAGTGACATATTCTCTTCCCTATGGTATTCTTTGATATTGCTCTTTTTCTGAATTTTCATATATCGGGGTTTGAGACTCCTCATGTTCAATATGTTAGTGATTTGAAGTTTTGAAAGAACCAATTGCTAATAATGCAAGGTCTCATCTACACTGTACAAAATGATTGCATTTATCGTGTGTAAACGTTCGCTCAATTGATTGAGAATGCGGGAAGCTTTACAGTGTTTCTGGAACACTTTTTTGTTTTATCAGGACAACACCTCAATCGAATGATTCTGAGAAATAATTGAGTCTACGGATAATTTTTTGTACATGTTTACTTATTGATTTTGTAATGAAATGTTATTTAAGAATGTATATCATCTGTTGTTCTTTAACTTTATTAATCAATTTTCATTTGGTGTTTCATTTTTCTATGATCAGGAAATATTTTCCCAGGACAAACAAAAAAAATAATATCTTTATTTTATTACATTCTTTTATAAGTAGTCGCCGAATTATAAAATCATTTCTTTATAGTTTGATTGCATCATACGGATTGGTACTCTTATTAATCATTCATTATATTGCATCATTTTTGTAGAGAACGAATCCAGGAGCAGACAAAGCGTTGATGGTCATCGTAGCAATGGTGACAGCGCTTGTAGTACGAGATTTGGTGATCTCTATACTGGATAATCAACACAATCACTATCAGTAAAGTCATAATCGATGAAACGATGGCGGCGGCATAAAGCGAACCGTAAACGACGATTTGAACAGTGACGTTGCCGGCTTGGGTAAAAAGATGAGAGAACATGTCAATGAAATAATTCATCTAGAACATAGAACAGTAAGAAGGAAATCGAACAGAGATTTACCAAAAGCACTATCCAGCCTATTGAGTGAAACTACATGGCAGGCAAAACCCTGTCCGACGTGAGATTTGAACCCACATTGTCGCCGTAGAAATCGAAGCTCTAACCATTGAGTCACTCACACATTTCCTATTTGTTTTTCGGACGCGGGCAACTGTCATTATCTTCAAAGAAGTGATTGTTGCTCCCCCTAATGGAACAAATCAATGTTTATCCATTAATGTCTATCAATCATGTAGACCAACCGAGATATTCCTCTAATGTTCTCCTAAAGTCAGTGTATCTTAAAATAAACCCAAGGAGCTGTTTTTACGGTGTGACTGAAGAGAAACCTTCACCATCATTCACATCCATAGCCGCATTCACTCAAAAACCTAATCTCATTTGGATCATAGAACTATTTAATACATAGATTAATCTGCTGTTGGATTTTCATGACCAATTTTTACAGAAATAAAAATATGTAAAATAAATCGACAAAAAAACTGTTCTCCTTGGTATTAATAAAATGGGGATTAATTTGAATGATGAATAATGAACCGTGGACATGGATTTCTCGATACACCCATCTTCAATTAGGCAACAGTGAAAAAAGCGCACACTAAATATATATGGATACCACCATGGAATATATTTCGAATATGAAAATCAGAACATATTTATTATTCTATGAATAAATAATTGCTGCTAGAACAGATGATATTGTACGCGGATGACATCTGTAGAAGTATTTAAGAATGGAAAGGGCCAACACTTGTTGTTGGAAATGCTCCTCGATCTGCGAACGATATTGTTCACTAGCATACTTCACACAATCATGCGAAATGTGAGCTTGCGAGGCGTGTGTCTATGGGTGCTGGTACGCATGGACAGAGTAGGCATACTAACACCCACACACCCATAACCTCGCTTCACAAGTAACTAATCTTCATTTCTTGAAAAAGAGAATTTCGATCAATCAATTTCTTTCATATTTGTGTATATTTACGATTCATTAATTTTTTATTTTGGTTCATTTATACAAACTGTTCGCTATGATAATTTGTGAGAAACATTTTTTCATTTACCGCTATCTATCAATCTGTTGAGTATACATACATATTTTACTTGTTTCTCGTCGAAATAGTTTTCTATTCCAACTGATGAATTTTTTTGAGTGCAATTTAGAAACTCATATGAATGCATAGTCGCATCTCTTGCATTCATATTCAAATTACGATATTGTTTTCGCCATCATGATGATCGTTTCTCAAAACAGTCCAATGACATGTGCAATACTCCTCTCATTTTTAAATTTCAACATGTTTTCTTTAATTATAACAAATGATCGAGCAACAACTGCACTGTCATATTGCCAATATTTTTCCTCTTCTTTCCATCTAATTAGATTAATTATCAAAATATTCTCAACATGTATTGAATGCATCTTAATCATTTCATACGATCTCGTGTAAAGTATCAACTATCGTTCCACTTCATATTTTCATATTACATTGCAGTGCTTGAGCTACAGTAGAAACCTTTCTAGAAACGCTGTTGATCGATAGTCTCAACAGAATTCCCACTAATATCGAGAGTCATGGTAAATGGATTCAAACTAAAACCTAAAATCGTTTCTTGGAAGGTTTTGCCTGAATTTTAAGAACTACAATCTAATATGAAAACATACAAGGGCATTAAATCTTATCTCATAAGACACATTCGAAATATGAAAGATATTTCTAGTATTTAATAGTAACATACTGTTTTGTAAAACATTAAACAAGGAATACTTCAATCAAATGATTGATCCCAATCAGATGGAAAGAAGAATAGTATGAAAAAAATACGGAAAATTCAGTTATTTTTAGGTCATCTATTAACATACATATACGTATATGAAGGAATTATATTTATACTATTTTTCTGAAGACATACACACGCAAATAATGAGCAGAAAAAAAAATGAAATAAACAAATAAGAAAATATGCACAAGAGTTAATAGAAGACAAAAAAAATGTAATTGAATAATTTTAATCCGAACACATAGGTTCACTTTGATAATTAGATAGACTTGGAGAATTACATAATGGTCGAAGTATCATTGTTTTTGATGATGGTGAATCTTCAGGAACAGGTGTTGTATCCATTGAATCATCTTGACAAGTATCTGTTACTACTTTTTTAATACGTGTTGCTGCTGGTTTGACATCTTCTTTTTTAACAAGAATATTTTCAACTAAATCAACGTATGACATTAATTCATTAGCTTCATCAGCTTCAAAGCCCTAGAGAAAATGCATAGTTATAAATTTAATTTCCTAAAAACCAAAAGACAACAAGCAGACTTTTTCAATAGTTTGTTCAATAAGTTTTGTTAATAAATAACGAAGTTCATCAATATCAGTAACACAATCAACAATAAATTGTGGATCAGGTCCTTGTATTAATTCATTTGATTGTTGTTCATCGTCATAAGCCATTAATACTTGTTGACATGATGCTATTTCGGAATTCAGATAATCAATTGTATTATCTAATTTTGATATTGAATCACGTATTGGTGTCGATGCTGTTTCTTCAGATTGTTCTTGATCAGTTTTATTCAAAACAATTGTTTTATTTAATCGTTTACAATAACGTTCACGTTTACGACTTGCACGTTCACGATTTTCTATTAATGTATTCATATCTCGATTTATACCAGCGATCAGTTTTCGACGACGAATAGCATTTGCAATCTAGAATATTTCATATAGATGAGATAGAAAAATGTTAAATAATAAATATTAACTAACATACGCCTTGTTGTATAGCAGCAAAATGTGCAGTCATCTCCTTGGTTGTTTTACGCATTCGTGCTGAGCGCATTTGACGGCGTAATAAATGTACCTAGACAAAAAATAAATTTGAATTCAATTTAAAAAGGAAATAAACAAAAGAAAATTTTCATATTCTTAACAATAAATATAAGATTATATATTATGATGATAAGATTGATAACTCTAATAGATGAAACTACAGATATAGATATGCAGAGCTAAGTTATTTTCCGATTCGGGCCTAGACAAAACTTTTCAAGAAGTTAATTCTATCTTATCTAAAAAAAAAATTCGTCAATACTTATTTTTCTCGCTTATGTAGTCGACGACTAGCACTTGTTTGGATCATTGCTCTTAAATTATGCTCTGATCGATATGATTTAAAAGTTCCGACCCTGGTCTTAGCAACTTGCTTTTCCTGTCACCCTGCACATCCCATGTCTGAACATTAAAAGTACGGTTTCTGAAAGAAGTAAATTTTCTCCAAAGTTTATTTTACATTTGAATGATATAAACTCATTAATTGAACAGTAGTACCATACCTCTTCTTGTTTACGTTTAAGAATCATTTCTTTTTGTTTATGCTGAGCACGTAATGTTCGAATAACATTATCTTTTTGCATTTGTGTCTAAAATAAAATAAGTTACAAATATGATTTAATTTTAATCTATATGAAAAATATACTCGTTTAAGTGTAGCAATTTCTCTTGCTTTAGCTTGTTCAGCTTGTCTATGTCGAATAAATTCTTGTCGTAATTCACGTGATAATTGAACTTTCATTTTACGTAAATCTTTTAATTCATTTGTATGTTTCGCAAGTTCTTTTTTATAATATTCTCCATCTTTTAAACAAACATTATATTGTGCACGCAATGTTGATAATTCATTATTTTCAATTTCTAATCGACGAATTTTTTCTTCATAATCACGTCTTGCGGATTTTAATTCTTCAATATTATATTGATCACGTGCAGCTGAATCTAAATTTGAAATAAGTCATAAATTAAAACAAATTAAAAAGCTGTTAGCACAATCGCAGAAATTTCTGTATAATAGGATAACTTCTTCACTATTCTTTTACTGAATCCTTCAGAAATAAAATAAGAAAGTAGTTCATACAGTATAACAAGATGTTATTAATATATTATCTTCGATCGTACATCTACTCCTATACTTCAACACTTCGTTTAGATCGTATTTGACAAAACGAACTTACTTAATTTAGTAACAGCCGCTTGTTTTTCATCTTCAGCATTTTGTATACGTTCTGAAAGAGCTTTTATACGTTCTTCATATCGTTGACGTATAAGATCACTACGTTTACGTGCACTTTCAAGCATTTCAAGACATTTTTGTTTAGCATTGATTTCAGTTGTAATTATAACTAATTTTTCTTCTTGTACATCAGCTAGAAACATAAAATGAAGTTTTCAAAACAAAAGGTTTTTTTAATAATTATTACATTCAGTTTGAGCATCATCAACAGGCATTTGAGCTTGTTCATCTTCATCATCACTATTAACCATGTTTTCTTGCTCATCCATAATTTGTATATTTGAAGGATTATCAATAGTATCTGATGATGGATTTGTTGAAAGTGGATAAATTGTTTCAGTTTTTTGTTGTTCTTGAATTTCATGTGGTTCTTGTGGTGAACCTGGTATTGTACTAATACCAATACGGTTTGATTTTGCTGAACCACTAAAATAAAATAAATAAATAATAATATAAAATTATAGAATTTATCTGCAAACCTTTCGCGAAGTAATTGTTCTTCTCGTCGAAGACGATCAATTTCATGACGAATATCTTCAATACATGGTTGTAAATCATCTGCACCAATTGGAGTTTGATTAAACTCAACTGATAATGGCTGATCAGCTGAAAATGATCCTAAAAAATAATTCAAGAGAACCGATTAAGTAATTTATGTGAATCAAATAAACTTTTAAATATTTAATAAAATATTCGAAATAATGATATATTATTAGACTGCCTAAAAAAAAGGAAACGCCCATTCGAGAAAAAAAAACCTAAACAAGATATTTCCAGGTTTTTCATAGGTCTCCTTATTTTACATGCTCCATCTGTAGTAAAAATTTCATGCGGATTAATAATACCCTTTGAGAAATAGAAATGACTGAAAATGAAAACAGCGTCTCTTCGAAGACCAAGATAAAACATTACTGCAAAATCAAATTTTAAAAACCTGATCAAGCCGATTATAATTCATATCGATAAAACATATGCATTACATTGTGAATAATGTTTTTTTTTTGTTTGTTTATAATACATCAGAATTTCTGAAATATGAGCATCTTCTTATTGTGAACAGTGGTCGCCTAGTTTTGATCCCATGAGATAATAATCATATAATGTGAGCAGCATGCACGCTATCACTCTCATGCAGAACGAAAAAAACGTTGTTATTTGTATTGTGCTTTAATAAACAATCATCGGAAAATAGATACACTAGCCATGGATATTTAAAAGAACAAAAAAGATCATATCAAGCGATGTCGGCACGAGTTGATTTATATCTTATTGAGTAAATTGTCCGAAAGTTCACCTTGCAAAACCGAAGTGATTACAACTGATTTATGACAACTAGCATAAAATCGAAGCGTGTCTTTATTTTTTTCTTTAGAAAATATCGTCTGTAGAGTACAGGATAGCAAAAAACTCGAAGTATAGTCAAAAAATGTGTTTTTGTTTTCAATACTACTGATTTTTAGAAAGTTACCGATGACATGAAAATAACATACTAAAGAAAACATGCACCCCAATTTGATCATAGCACTCATAAAAAGATTGTAGCCCTACCAGACGTGTCGTATGAGAGAAAAATTGATTTTGAGAAAAACACAAAACAAACTTTCCTGTATGTATCAGTGTTAGAGATTCATGACCTATGTTCCCAGCACCTTAAGAAAAATCATTAGGAGAATTTTACATACAAATAATAACCACAGTGCGAATTTTTCTTCCAGAGATCTCGAGAATTGAATTTAATAAAAGTATTAACTAGCAAAGAAGAGCTCTCATTTATATAACATTGATTAGAGGACATCTCGAAGCTAAATTAGTGATAAAATTAAAAAAATTGATTTTAACATCCGGAAAGGCAGGGTCCACTTCAGAGAGATTTACCTATAATGACTAACAAATATAAAATCATCATACTACTTACTTGTTAAACGACTTTTACGACGACAAGATAATGGACTACGTCTACGAAGTACATTACTAACATCGATCATACGTGATAATCGAGATCTATTATACATGAACCATAATAAACAAGAAGAAAAACTTATTCAATTCTCTTACTGAATTTCATCACTTCTAATTAAACATTGATTTAATGCTTGATCATAATCAAATGTTGTATCATTCATTTGTCGATGATCACGAACTGTTTCAAGATCTTGTTTTAATGTTTGTGATACAGTATTTGTTTCATTAATTGAACGTTGTATTGTATATATATATGATCGTATACGTTCAAGTTCTTGATTTAATGCACTATTATTCGCTTGATCATATTCAACCTAAAATATTTTTTTTCATTTAATTTTTAGTTTTTTAATCAGCAAAAAATCATTTTTCTTTTCTTACCGTTGGTAAACGTTCATTTTTATCAACTAATGCACGTAATCGTTCAATTTCCATTTGTAATTGTATTATTTGTCTACTATGTTTATCTTGATTAACTTTAACACGATTACGAATATTACGTGCACGTTGAGCATAGTTCAATGTACTTTTTGTCTCAGAAAAATCACGATCAACTGGTGAAATACAAGCAATCATTAATGTTCGACTAAAGACAACAAGAAAAACAGATTTTGTTTTTTTTTTCGAAAATCATCAATTCTTAAAATTTACCTATTACCGCCTAATGAATCTTGTAATAAACGAGTTAATTTTGAATCACGATAAGGAACATGTGCACCTTTTTTCATGGGATCACCTAAGACTGATATGACATTACCAAGAACAAGCTAAATAAAATAAGTAATTAAATAGGGAAATATGTTTGTCTTAACTTACCAAACCGCTATTAATACTGATGCCTTCTTTAGCACGTTGACCTGTTGCACCTGTTCGTTTCAAACTTTCTGAACCAGCTAAATCAACAAAATGAATTTTAGCCCGAATTTGTTCACGTAAATTTGAATTTGATGTCTAAATTGAGAATTACAAAATATAAATGAAAATTTTCTCTTTTTTTGGTAACTTACAGATACTGATGGAACAACACGTTCAAATTGTAAAGTAACAGTAAATATGGCGTGTGATCGACTTGACACAGTGTTCATACGTGTTGATGCTGTTGTTCGACTAAGAGCACCTTCTTTCAAACAATCCAATGTCTATAATTTTACAAACACAAAATGAAATTCATATTCATAAAAATTTTTGATTTCAAAAATCTGACTCAATACTAACGATCGAATACATGCTTTTGTTTGGATGAAAACCTGATTGAGCAAAGTTAAATGAAGATCGTATGGATCCAGGATGATAGGGCTCTATGAAAAACTAAGGTGGCTCGCATAAATGCACTTCAACATTTTTTTCATCGAACACCCGTCTTCTAATTTTTGGATCACAAAAGAGAGGGAATGTTCTTAATTTTTTCCTAAAAATTCAACCATGAGCCAGATGCATTCAAATCGCTTGAAATTGTTGAGCCTTATATTATGACATTTTTGCGAGATATTCAAAGAAACGTCAAAAATAGCTCATTTACCAACCCAAAATTCTCTTCTATTTTTTATGCAGAGAACAAGAATGATAAGCCCAATGTCCCAGAAAATAGACATGTTAATAGAAGTGCTTTTTTATTTAATAATAATAAAGCTTAATTGAAAAAAACGAGCCCTATCAGACACTGCAGTTTAAAACAAAAAATCCATGGGCTACTATAAAGCTCTTTCGACGGAGTTCATAGATGTACAATCAGACTCCGAGCTATCTTGCATCTAATTTTCATTTATTCAGATGAAAAACTGACATTTTTCAGTGGCCTTTATATCTTTGTCTCTTGTTACTGTTTATCGTAGAACGCAAGCTTCTATTACACCAATAGAATGTGAAGTTCTGGATTTTTCAAAAACTAAATAGATAACATACGGCTACGGTTGAAGAAAGACAAAATTCTAAATTTTTCAAAAAAATTCACTTTCATTAATTCAATCACATCAAATACTTCTCATAGCTTGTCTTGGAATAAAATAACAAACCTCTTGTGCAGTTGTAACAAAGCGTGTTGTAATATTAGTAACAGCTATTTCGCCATTACTATTTTCGAATACAACATGTTTATCAGAATTTTTTTGTGAACGAAAATCAATATTTTCTTTATTAAATAAATCATAGATATTTTCATTATAAATCTATAAATAAATAAAAATCTTGTCTTTCAATTTCTAGTATATTTGTATATGTTCATACTTCAATAAATTGACATGAAACAACACATTTTGATAGAGCAATCCCTTTTGATTCTGCTTCACGTTCATAACTTGCACATCGTTGAAATATATGCATGATAGCACGAGGTAAAATACCTTCTTTACTCGGATCATTATATTCAATTCCACTACCCATAGTAAAAGTCTTTCTACATTTATGAAAAAGAAAATTTCATTATTCCAAAAAAAACAATACAAGATAATTACCCGGAACCTGTTTGTCCATAAGCAAGTATAGATGCACTATAACCTTGAAAACACCCTTCAATCATATCGTAAATACATTCACGATAAACATCTTCTTGTATTGTTTCTGGTAAAAATACATGATCAAATGTAAATGCTGTACTATTAGCAAGAATTATTTCATTTGTTGCTCGTTGTACATCAAGGCATGTTTGACATAGATCGTGTTCTTCATTTTTTGATAATGGACGAACACTTAAAAAAGTTTTTTTCATTTCGTTTTAAATTGAAAAAATATATTTTATTTTATTTTTACGTACCGAACAGCAGCTTTGACACAACTGGCAATTTCTTTATTCAAATTAGCCGATTCCATTCGATCGGATACTGATATTCATGCGCACATAGGCGGCAAAAGAACGAAATGACAAGAATAAAGAACTCATTTAGGACAAAGGATCTCGCTCGCGCGTTGTTGTCACTAGATGTCAAGTTAATAACTATTGATTTATTTATTTTTTATTTCATAAATACATGTTTTTAATTCATAGAAAAATATAAAAAATAAGAAATAATAATTAAACATAAATATTAAAATAGATGTCATTGTATGATTTCATATTCGAAAATTTTCAATAAAATATTTATAAATTTGAATGCATATTATTTATTTTAATTTCAAATAATAATAATTTAATCAAATATTTTTCGAGAAGTTTCACGATGCAACATTCGATAAGTTATCTTTCATAACCAGTAGAATCTTCTATAAAGAAAAAGATGTAGCATTCGACGGGAAAGAAAAGGAAGGAAAGGAATTATTTAATCTTTTTTTTTTCTTTCTTTTCTTCTACTACATTTCTTTTTTTTTTTGCTATAGTGTGTGTATGTGTTGAGACAGAGTAACACAGCAGCGCAATTGCATGATCATATACAACAATTCAATTCTGATAAAAACTCAATTAAATATCTTTATAGATTTTTTTTGATACTTGAATATATCTACGAACTTATAAAATAATCGAATAAAAATATGGACAGTGACCAAGAGTCATCCGAAGTATGTGAAAAAAAAATTTGAATGACAATGAATTATTCATCGATATTTTTTGTTTAGTGTCCGTTATGTTTGGAAGTACTCGAAGCTGATGATTTGAATTTCTTTCCATGTACATGTTGTTATCAAGTAATATATTTGGATCTTTTTTTTTTATGTTCGTTAACTTACTGATTATTATGAATGTTTTTTGTTTTATTATTAGATTTGCCGGTTTTGTTGGCATCGTATTCGAACAGATGAAAATGGATTATGTCCTGCCTGTCGAAAAGTATGAATTTTATTCAAATAAGTGTGATCTAATAAACGAATTCTTGTCAATTTCTAGCCATACAGTGAAAATCCGGCACAATTTAAACCATTAACTGAAGAAGAGTAAATATTAGTAAAAAATAATTTTTTGTATAATTTTCCTTTATTTTATTTAGAATTCAACAAGTAAAACGTGATAGAAAATTAAAAGAATCCCATAAAAAACCAAAAATCACTGAAAGTCGTAAACATTTGGCAAATCTTCGGTAGTATTTTTAATTGATTTATTTACATAAAATATATTTACTATTTTCTTTCATTTAGAGTCGTTCAACGTAATCTTGTATTTGTCAATGGTCTTCCATCACGTTTAGCTGATACTGAATTATTAAGACGAAATGATTATTTTGGTAAATATGGTAAAATAGTTAAATTAGTTACATCACCAGCACACAATGGACAATTAAATTCTATATGTGTATATATAACATATTCACGTTCAGAAGAAGCATTACGTGCTATACAAGCACTTTGTAATTATCATGTTGATGGTCGCACATTAAAAGCAACATTAGGTACAACTAAATATTGTAGTCGATATTTAAAAGGTGCATCATGCCAAAAAGCTGATTGTCTTTATTTACATGAACCAGGTGATCCATTGGCTAGTTTCACTAAAGAACAAATGCAACAAGGGTAAGAAAAATATCTAAAGTTCATAGAAATATCAATATGGTTTTCTTGTTTGTTTGTTTTTAGTTTACATCTTGAATATGAACGAAAACTTATGGAACAGTTTACTAATAGAAATATATCTGGACAATCAAATACAACACCAAAAACTGGACGAACGATGACAAATGGGTATATACTATCCATTTTTGTTCAATAAAAATTCAAATTCGAATATTTTTAGTAAAAAAAATGATTCACCACAACGACGAAAAAATCCTACACAACCAACGTCATTAACACTAACAACAAATTCAGCAATATCAACAAATGGGAATTCAGATTTAGAATCAGGTGATGAAATTCATCATTCATTGAATGGTTATAATAGTGAAACATTTACACGTACAAATACAATAAATGTTGATTCTGATACAACATCAACATCATCTCAAACATCATCTGAACACGATCCACAAGTAACATCATTAACAATTCAAACTCAAACATACAATGCGTCTCCAATAACAACTACAACAACAAATTGGCCAGATGAACGAACATCTTTTCTTGCCACTAATAATCTCGCATCATCTCAACAAACAACAACATCAACAACTAAATCTTTATCTCAAACATCACCATCTATAAATGTACCTGTTACAACTTTATTATCTTCGCCCAATAATACTAATAATAATTTATTAACAGAATCAACTAATAATAATACAGTGAAAAATTTTGATCAATTACCTGAATATAAACTATTTAGTTCAAATATACCATCTATACATAATCTTCTTTTTGGTAATAATGAAAATTGTCAACAATCTCAAAGACCATTAATCAATGGAATTGATCATGATGTGAGAGAAATTGAAAAAAGATTAATGGGTATGAAGATGAGAAGAGAAAAAAGGAACATTATTTTTTATTATCTATTCTTTTTTCTTTGTTAGAAAATGGTCTTAATAATGGTGATATGCCCTATTCTCAAACGCAAGAAAATGATGAACTTGGTAAAAACAAAATTCGATTTTTTTGTCTTTTGTTGTTAAATTGAAATGTTTTTATTTTTTTGAAGGTTTTGATCCATGTAGTTTATTTATGTCTGCACTTGCATCTGATATTGAAGATGAACGACGACCATTACCATCAACAATAGTACATCGTCCGATAACAAATTCGTATAATTACTCATCACAATATACACCTACAACGAATCCATCTATCGGACAAATGAATACAAATTGGTTATTACAACAATCACAACAATATCATGATCAACAACAACAACAACAACAACAGGCAATAATACATAGTAATGGTACAACATCACAAAAACAACAACAACAACAACGATATCCAGTATCATTTAGTAAACAAAAAATTATTTCATTTAGAAAATTTTTTTTTTCTTTTGCATACGTATAGACGGATCGTCGCCCAGACAGATGTGGAACGGCAATCAACAACAATATGCACCACAAATATCAACTCGTTTAGATTTTACAAATCAAATTCCACAAAGACTTCCACCATCACAATCATCATCACAATATTCTCAAACAATGAATAATCATACTAATACTAATAATACTTATTCTTCTAATAGTACAGTGACCACAAATAATTGTAAGATTTTTTTTTCTTCTTCGTCTAAAATTAAATCATTATTTTTGTATTTTAGTATCAAATGATCGATGGATAAATCTACCATGGACAGATCCAGCTATAATATCATTCGGTAATAAACTTGATACAACATCATCACAATGGTCCACAACTACGCAATCACAAGGATCTTCCACATTATCATCCTCAGGAAATAATCTCATGCAAACTGCACGTTGGTCACAACAACAACCATCGACACAATCCCAAACACATATGATTACAAATGGAATCTATTCGCCATATTCAACAACATCAGGTGTCGATAATGGAAATCGTTCTTAAACTAAATAGTCGATCACATGCATATAAACACACACACACACACATATATACACATATATTAAAAAAGTCTTATTTTTTCTGTCTATGCGCTCCGTGCCCGGATGATAGCCTCATCTTCATTTTTTTCTCTTGTACTCCTTTTTTGGCTTGTTTGTTTTCTCTATCTCTATCTCTCGTTGTCGTTTATCATATATACATATATATATACATACATGGAAAAAACACACATATTTTTAATGACGAATTAAAGAAAGTTTCAAACGACGGGAAAACATCTAAATGAAGAATAATTGTATCATCAACGTAATTGAGAATTATATTCATATGATAAAAATAAAGCTAAGCTTATAATGCATCAAAGATATCAAAAACAGAAACCATCAAAAAACATTTTTTCCTTTTATTCTAATTAGATGTTTATTGTCATGTTGTTTTCTTTTTTGTCTCTCTCTCTTTGTCATTTCGCACCTTTTTTGCTCATTCGCTATTTTTCGTTGCTAAGAGTTTCTCTATATTCTTGCTTGTTTTCTTTTTCTTTCTTTCGTATCAATGTGTGTATTACATTATGAGACTATCTACGTAGAACCTTTATTGAGATGAACACACATGATTTGAAACTGATTATCGCATATATCTTTAATAGACAAATCAAATAACATTTTTTTATAAAAATATTTATTCTCTTTGAAAAAACAAAACAAAACAAGAAATCGATTCTAACGCGTGTTTCGTTACTATAAGTTTCATAAAAAAAAGTTAAGTATACTTTCATTATTCATAAACTGAAAGAATTCTTTCTAAATTTTTTTTCTTCTTCAACATTTATTTGAACGTTAACAACAGAAGAGAAGTAAAAAAAATAGTAACGACGTTGCTGTTTTCATTGCTGATTGTGACACTTTACTTTCTCTTTTGCTTTCTCGTCCTCTTCTGTCCATTAAACGTTTTAATAGAGACGTTAAAAAAGTTTATAACATGGATGCAAACACGTCTCTCATCAAACCAACATTTCTTTTCGATGATCGAAAACGGTTTGATGCCGAATGTGAACATGATCATTTACGAAGTTCTATACGACAACATACTGAAATACCACAGACAGCTGATCCATGGAAACAGCCACCGGTAGATTTTACTTTGAAAAATTTTCATCCAGATCGAAAGAAAATCACTAATGTATCATCCATAAATGATATTTCACCAAATGAAAAGCAACCAGAAATTTCACGAATTTATGATCCTGTTGTAATGAAACCATTTGCAGTACCATATCAAAATATAACGACAAAAGATGTAAGAAATGATAATGATAATGATGATTTTCTACTTGATACACGAATTCAATATGATAAAGTAAAACGAATGTTAAACACAGAACAATATAAAAATCCTAAACTGCATGATTTTCGACAAGTAATTTTTGTCATTTGAATTTATTAGTTTAATTCTTTTTTTCTTTTGTGTTCAAAAATAGTATTCAAGTATCAAAGAATTAGGCTTATCAGAATTTTATACTACATATGCACGAGATCCATATAAAATTCGTTTTCTTTCTGATCATTTGAATACTTGTAAGTATTTATTATTCTGTATGTTTTTATAATTATTAATTTTGGTTTATTCAAAGTATGGCTTCAAGAACGTGAACATGAACGTATACCTATTGTTCAAAAACCATTACCCGAAATGTATCGAGCATTAACTGCAAGACCAACATGGGATTCAAGATTAGTTTTACCAAAACTTGTTTTTCCAAATAAATATGCTGCTTATACTGTAAGTATATTTTCAAAAATAAAACAAAATCTTTTCATCATATTTTTAATATTAAAAATATTTATACACATAGCGTTATCGAAATCCAACACGTACCATACAAAGTGCCTATTGGGAACGAGTAGAAGATCATTTCGGACAACATCAAAAGAAACGTTTAAATATTACTTGAAAATACCAAAATATATCATTAACTTTTATTTTATTTTTCTATATACATAAATATTTATTTGACAATGACAAAAAAAAACATTATCGAAAAATCATTCGACCAGTTTTACCATAGAGAGCTAAAAAAAGAGAATTTAAATTTAAGATTTTTTTTTCTTTTTTGATACAAAAACGAAAGAACAAACCTAATGGACCACCATCTGGTGTTTCGGGCATGCCCATGGCTTTAGCATAATTACTTGAATACCATCTAAATATATATGAAATAAATTTTGTTGTGGTTTTCTTTTTTATTCTTATAAAATTTCATTTACATGCTCAATGATTCTGTTGCTAAAATGGTGCGAACTACTTTTGCGTAAAGTTTATATTTTCGTTGAAATAACAAACAATTTATTTCTTGTGATGTTCTTGCTGGTGGAATCAAACAACACCAATTATTTTTACGTTCATCTGATGCATCAAGTACAAGATTATTACCATTTTCACGAAAGATCTACAAAATAGAATTTTATTGTTCAATACTTTGTATTTTTTCTTTTTCTTTACTTTAATAAGAAATCCATTGCGTGGTGTTGTTGTTAATTTATCTTCTGGTATAAAACGTCCTTCAAATGGACCGATAATAGTCGTTTTTAAAATACGAATTGTTGGTGAAAATGTTATTGTATCATCACAACGACGCATTTGAATGTGAGTTGGTAATGAGAGTAAAACTCTGTTGAACAAAAGAGAAAAATAGTTAGAATTAATTTAGAAATTTTAACGTTAGTTTAACAAATAATGATTCATGAAGCACATGATTTTTTTTATTTGACATGAATACAATGAGTCATAGTCAGTGCCCTATAAAGTCGAACTGTTTGACGTTGACACTTGACTATTATTTTCTTAAAAGCTTCAAAAACTATTTTTATTGAGAAAAAAGATCAAGAAATTATTTTAATATTTCGAAACAGCCCATCAATAATAATAAGAATAAAAAACGAACTATATGAATATTGTTTACAACCACAAAATCTTCTGAAAAGTCTAGTTCTATAACTCCTATATAAAAATCGCTTGACATCAAGGAGAGATTCAATGACTCTGATAATATAGAAAATTTTCTTGGACTAGAACATTTATTTCTTGTTAGTACAGGTATCTCTCTAATATCATTATTTTGTTCATTGAAACTTATGAAACTTTAAAGTAGTGTATTTTTATCTAACACGATCTAAAATTAGTGTTGAAGTTTATAAAGTAGAAAATTGTATTTCCCACAGATCATGACAGATGTTATTCAGAGATCACCATAGATCGTGACAGACGTTTTTGATATACAATCAAAAACCATATATGAATAATGTTTCGTTATAATATATTGACGACTTTCTTATCGTATCTCTAGAGAATTAACTAAAAAGATGTTGAAGAAATGTGCCCGAAATTAGATAGAACAAAACAACATTCCAATGATTAGTAAGAGCAGCTACATCGTGTTTTACATTTTAATCCTGCAGGGATTGTGCTAACAGCTTTTATTGGTTAATTAGCATATAAAGATTAAAGTTGTTACTATGCATAAGTAAAAAGAAAAGAACTCGATTATTGTACTGATTTAATTTCAAAAAATATTCTTCTCAATCATTCTGACATATTGTGATTTCAAATAGATCAGTGAAATAATTTCTTCGAGGATTCAATTTCAAGATATATCTTATTTGAATTATTTCATACTTTGAAAGATTTCGAGTCAATGATGATGATGGTTTCTTTTCTATTCCATTCATTTTTGATGATGATACAAAATCTGGACAATCATCTTCAGCATGATTATTAAAACAAATAATACATATCATTGTCATTATAAATTCTAAAAATAAAATAAAATAAAATCTATTCTTTTTCTTTTTTGTTATTTTTCAAAACCTATTAACAATACGGACAATTTTTATTTCATTTAATAATTATACAAAAATAATATGTATACAAAAAAATGAACAACAGAAACGAAAAGAAAAAACAAAATCTCTGAATTGATAAATTGTTTAAGAATCATCAACATCTTTCATAGAATAGAAGATAACAATTTTCCGTAATGTATGATGTTTGAAACAGATTATTAATGTCATTTATTTCTATTATACGTTCATCATCACTTAAAAACCATTGATTATGATCTGTACGATATAAACAAACATAATGTTCATTTATTCTTTTTGTTAATTGTATAGATGATAATGACGAAGAAGAATTCTCTGATAAATGCAAACAAATAGCTATTAAACGATAATGATAAGAAATTGATAAATCTCTTAATCCAAGCCATGTTGTATAATGAAGATATGACAAATCAAGAATTTTGTCTGGTTCAATTATAATTGATGTATTTAATTTTATTGTTCTATTCGAAAGACGATCATATGAAAAACGTTTTAATTGAACACAAAGAACATCAGGAAAATTCGAAATCATTTTTTGACTTTTTATTCTATAATGCATATGATTTTTTGTTGATGGAAGAATATTTATAGTAGAAGCTAAAATATAATTAAATAGACATTTTGTTGTAATTAAAATATTATGACATACATGATATCGGTGTTGATGAAAATATATGATCGGAAGGTTGACGACGTGAAGTAACAATCGGTGATACAGTCGATCTAATAGAAAATTATGTTTAGTTAATATAGGAAATCTTTTTTTGTATTAAAACATCCTAAAATAGTATATTAGATTTTCTCGTCTGTCGGAGCGATTAAAAAGACCTCAAGGGTCAACTCGATCTTCGGAGAAACACTGCGCCCGCATTGGATAAACCACTGACGACTTATGTTGCTAATAATGATAACTACATTATTTATGTATTGAAAAGTACTGATGTCTTAAGTACTTTTTTTTTTTCATTCTCTATCGGATAATATGAAACTACGCTAATTAGACCTGTTTTATGAGAATAAACGGATGAATTATACTAGAGACAAGCAAATAATTAATTGACAAGGAAATGACAGATTTCAACGCCAACCTAAGTCTATGAATTCTCATATTTTTGTCTTTTGGATTGTTGATATTTACAACAAATTTACTATTATCCAAATGTATTATATTCATTTTGTTCGATTAGTTTATCTTTTAGACATGATGCTATACACTCAATCAAAGTCTTCATTATCTTCGTTCTATCAGCTCTCAACAATACATCAATTGAATCTTTACATAATAATAGACTCTGATATAATATAAATAGACAACAAATAAAATGCTCGATGTTTTCGAGTTCTAGCTTAATATTGTAATGCATGATTAAGTAGAAAATAAAAACTTTTTTTCTAAAATTTCATTCAGAAAAGTAATGAATAACAGAGAAATGTCTTTTTTGCGTACGAGGATATAATTCCAAGTGATCTTTTTCATTAACCACCATATTTTGTTAATATGTAAGAAATTACTAGAGTAACGTAGCCTATAAACGTTTTCTGCTCTTGCTTAAATTTGGTCGACATCGCGGCTTTTTAGTAGATGTATACCGCAGAGGTCTGTTATTTCAGAATTTTGACCTGAAATTTTATATACATAAAGATCTTCATAAGACTATCTCATATAAAAAGTCTAATCAGTTTTGGATGTCGCATTGATAAGGTAGGGACTTATTGAGAAATCTTTCCCAATCTTAACGATGCGATATCCAAAACTGATGAAACTTTGTAAATGAAATAGTACAATTGAGACATTCATCAGTGCAAAATCTCGAAAAATTAAACTCCTGCACCATGTGTCTACTGAAAAGTTGGTATGCCGAGTAAATCTAAGCAAAAGCAGAAAATCTTTAGAGGTTACACTTCTCTCGTAATCTCCTACATATTGATAAAATATGGAGACAAACGAAGTGAATCACTTGAGAACGTTTTCTCGTAAGCAAAAACCATACAACATACGTTATTTTACTGAGAAGTGCATCATGTTTAGTCATTCTTTCTTGTTCATTTTGTATTTGATTAGAACAATGTGAACATGATATTGAGTCTATCTAGATAAATTAAAAAGAAAAGAACAAAATACAAAGTTTGTTAAATATATAAAAATCTATTTAATTACATACAATTTCAATTTTGGTTAATTGAGAAATAATTTGTTCTAATGTTTGATTTGTTTTATTGATTGATAATGTTAATATTTGAAATGGCTCAGCACGAAAATGAACATGAGAACAACTAAAATAAGAAATATTTTAAAAGATGAAAAGGAAAAAAAAATTCCGTTTTATTTACTTATTACAACAATGTGCATGAAGTATTTGTCCAGAAAAAGTATGTTTCATTGTTGAACCAAATTGTATATGATGTAATAACCAAGTAATATCAATATATTGAATTATATTTGATGTTTGTTCATCAAGATTATCTAAGGTTATTTTATCATGAAGCTAAAAGAAAAACTTTATTTTAAAATATTTATAATAATATTTTTTACTTGTTCTTCTGTTTCAACAAATAATTTATTTAAATATTCAAGTGACAATGTTGTTAATTTTGAATTTTGTACTTGTTCAATAACACTAAATAAAGATAATATAAACATTGAATTGTCAGAAAACTATTGATATAATTTACTTTGTTGAATAGATAGATGATTGTTGTGATAAAGAATTATTAAGTATATCAATAATACATTGAAATAATTCACATATATCTGTTGTTGTATTCTCTGTTAATAAATTCGTATAAATTAAATTTAATTTCGAAATAAATACTGATGTATCAACAAGTTTATTCCAATGTTTATAATCTGATGTACGATGATCATTTCGTAATTGAGAAATAAGTTCAAGAAATGCAGGTACGACTGGATCATAATTAAAGCGTGATAACTAAATTAATAGAAAAAAAAAACGATTTGTTTCAAATTCAACTAATTGATAATCACGAAACAGTTGTTGAATTTAAATCTTTTAAGTTTCGAATTTCCCTGTGCTCAATCTAAGTTATTCAAATGCATGCGAACTCATACCTGTTCTCAAACGAAATCTGATTGTCAATATGACAAATTAGAAGTAGATAGTTTATTTCATGAATTTCATTTTCGATAAAATTTAATGTCCCAGACAAATCCATATGGTAAGTTCAGGCTAGAGATGTGCAAGATAGGATAGGATAAGTGTAAGAATTTAGTAAGACAATGCACGGCAAGAATAATAGAAACGGCCAAGCTGTGATACAAACATGTTATGATTCGGATTCACCTTTCACATTCCATTACTGAAATAAATCGAACAACAACATTTATTACACTGAATATAATCAGACTAACCCAATAGGAAATATAGCTAGATCATTATTTGCTATACCAGCTAGTTCATATAAGAAGGAAAGAATATTCAGTGATGTCAGATTGCTCATAGAAAGTTTTAAAAACATTATATTTAAATCCTTTATAATAAAAACTAAAATACATTCGAAAAAACATGATACTATTTATCTCTTTCAATATCTTCCAACTAGATTATAATATCTGGCAATCACTATGACTACATTCTCAAACTTTGTTATAATAGATTTTTCTTTTGTTATTAAAACAAATGATCGAAAATTCTTTAATAAATATATATGAGGATGCAAGCGAAAACTATTAAAATCTAAAACTGACGAGGAAACATCTTCACATACTAAATAGCTTTGTTAATCGAGATTGATTGAAATTTTCATAGATTTTTCAATAAAAAGCTGTAGTCACGTGAAAAATCAACTTTCAATTTTGCAATGACGTTAGTTGATTGTGCAACTTTTAGCTTTTCTAGTATTTCATTTTTGAAGATATAAATACACAAACAAAGTTGTCTTTTGCAGATGACCGAATTTCGAATATTCTCAATATAGGAGATACTAGAAATGTTACAACTTGTTCAATAAATTAATCTTATTGAGAATTTTGTTCGTGCCAAGTTTGAAGTTGAAAGTCGATTTTTCATGTGATTATAGCTTCTTGTTAAAAACCTCAGTAATATTTCGATATCTCGGAAACGAAGACTCAGAGAACTTAACCATCTTAGAGGTTTCTATTACTCATTAGCACTCATCATATAAATATCGTTTCTATGGAAAAGCAATTTGATGTCTGGACAGATTCACTAGTTAATAATAACTTTCAATTTCTTACATTAATATTTCGCTGTAATAATAAGTAAAATTTGTTTAGTGATGCTAAACTTTGTAATAGAGCATTTAGTGAACATGTTGTACCATATAAATTAATAATGCCTGGTCTTGGTAATGTTTGAGTAAATGATGACTATATAAACAAAAGAAGAAAAAAAAACATTTATGAATAAAAAAAAATTTCTAATAAATTCATACTTGTTGAAGTCGAATATCATTTGTTGGCTTAAGATTATAGTTATATTGATATTCTTTTGGAATTTTATTTGTTTGCACGACTTTCGAAGATAAACGACAAAAAGTTAGATTTGTAATATATTCATATAAATATTTTAGTATTTTTTGACAAATTTCAATTAATAGTTTTATTTTGGTGAAATCTTTTATTGAATAAATTGTTCCCATAATATGAAACAATAGAAAACATATAAGTACATTTGGAATATAATAATAGAATGATATAAAACCAATTAAAAAACCCAGAAATATACATTCATATATTAATATATGAAAATGATTTTTTTTTCTAAATAAAAAGAAAGTTTCTTGTTTTCTTTTTCTTTTTTTTTTCTGAATAAATAAAAAAAGAAAGAACAATAAAAAAAAATACCTTTCACGAATAACCATACATTTCGTAATATTATCAACAATTAGATAAATAAGAAATTCACCAACTATATTAATTGGATTTAATTTAAACCACATTGTTGTCATAATAACATAAAAACCGCAAAATAATTTCCTTTTCTTTCGAAGAAACAAAGAAAAAGCTTACGTAAACAATTCGTTTATTATCCAACCAATGAAATATGTGGAACATATTATGGATAATCCATCTTTCTTTTGTTTGATATTTAAAGCATATCAGAAAATCATTTGTATTTTATATAAGAAAAACGAGTCAATTATCAAAAAAACAATAGCTGCTAGACCTTTTCATACAATAAAACAATTATTTGGTAGGAATGTTATTAAGATGAATGAAAAATTTAATTTCTTTCATTCAATAAAGCTTTTTCTTTGTTTAGAGAAGAGTGAATATTTATCAAATCATAAAGTTCATGATAATAAACGAAAAATATTACAACGTACACGAAATTTTTTTTTTTCGAAAACAAAAGGAAATCAGTGTAATTTTTCGTCTTTTTTTTTATTTATTATTATTTAATCTTACGAGGGAACTTTTCTAAATATCAAATCACTTTTGAGTTGGGGCTATGTGTATCATGTCGGTTCTAATGAGCTATAAATATTCTGGAAATATTTTGGGTTAATATTTTATAACTGTGGAGAAACTATATTTTTAGCAGAATATCGTGGCTCCTCCAGAAACAGTTTCCGATCTATGGATTGCTACTATTCTGAGATACAGATATGATAACAGCATGTTTTCACGCCACTCACTTACAACGACACATTCTGATGTTCTTGTTTCAGAATAGACACAATAAAAAAACATTCTTTTCTGGTATTCTTGAGGGGATCGCAGTATTATACAAAAAAATACCGTATCTCGACATCAATAAGTTATTAACCTGAACTCTTTTCAAGGTATTTCAAGCGTTCTAGAATCTATATGATACGCATAGTTCCCACTTAAAGTCTATTTGATGTACAATACGAAACACAATTTTTTGGACGAGATTTTAAACTGACAAGAGAACTCCAGGTGTTGTATATATTTTTGATAGAGGCGATGTTCATTTCAAGTGCTCGAGGACGATAGGAAATTTTAGAAAGGTTTAATTTTCCGAATCTTTGTTCGTGAGATATCGAAACTTTACTGAGCTTGTCTTGAAAAAGCTGTGATTAGGTGAGAAATTGACTTTCTAGTTTCGACTTCAAACTTTACATAGAAACCCTTCTGACTGAGATTAGTTCATTGTGGAGGTATTTGATTTTATAGATGAGAGAGTTTCAAATATTGAATATCGCAAGATAGGAAATATTAGAACAGTTACAACTTGTCCCATGAACGAATCTTATCAGGAACTTTGTTCGTGCAAAACTTGTAGTCGAAATTTAATTATCGATTTTTGGACAGGCTTACCTTTTTGTTGAAAAACCTAGTAGAATTTCGATACTTCAAGGACGAACGTCTGAAAAAACAAACCATTCTAAGTTTTTCTATTACTCAGTAGTACTCATCAAATGAATATCGTCTCGATTGAAAAGCAATTTGACACCTGGAGAGGTTCCCTCATCAGTATAAAGGATTGTTCAAAAAAATTTTGTCCAATACTTGATTTAGTGCACATGTAAGTTGAAAGTTTATATTTAGTTCTGTGAATACAGCATAGGGTTTTAAAAAACTCTCAATACTTTATGGAAGAGCAAGTGATTCATTTGTATGTCAAACTGGCGAAAAAAAAGCTTTAAGCTACGGATTAGTAGGAAAATCTAGCGGTTTACTCTGTTGTGCGATTAGGTAGGTCAAGGCCAAGAAACAATGTTCGAATCATTTTATTTTTGATTAATTGATTAATAATCAGCTGTGATGGCCGAGCGGTTAAGGTGTCTGACTCGAAAGACATTTAAATTTGCTTTACGAGACATCAGATGGGTTCTCCCGCGTAGGTTCGAATCCTACTCGCAGCGTGACTACTTTTTCTTATTAAATATTTTTTTCCTTCATTTTTAGTACAAATCATGGCAGATCGTGATGCTAAATTAGCTAAGGTATAGAAACATCAAAGAAAGGAGAATGATGTTATGTTCTTGATCTTAGAAAAGATATGAAAATCCACATTCTTGATACATGTATACTAATACCAAATTCTTCTTATATATGCATTGGTTATTGACCATCATCAAGTAATGAAAGCATCCATTTAATTACATGCTAATGGCTTGCAGTTTGGGAGTTTAGATGATTAGACATAGTTTTAAAAGATACTTATCACGACTATATTGATGAATGTAAGCTATGAGACAATATATTCTAACAACTTTAACTTCAGCCTTCATATATATCCTTCATTAATATTGTTTCGTGACAGTTGGCGAATTCTGGCCAATCATTGGTCTAACATGCTCACTTATATGAGAAGTCTTTGATGTTATCAAGAAAAGTAATTTCGGTAAATGTTTATTAATATAAAGATTTTATATTTTTATTGTGTATTTATGTTTACAATCCTTATGTTCATTTCTTTATCTAATGAAGGACGCAAGTTTTTTTAAAAATTTTATGAATCGATATTTTTTAGATTAATAATCATGGAAGATTTTGATATGGATGCTGATGATATTATCGAACAAGAGAATAGTAAATCTCCACAGAAGAAAACTCTTCAACAAACAGGTATTGCAATGGATGCACTTGCTGGTCTTCTCGGTAGTTATTCAACAACAGAAATGATAGTAAGATAATTATATTGTATCAATCATTTGAATGGGTCATATTTTCTTTTCCCATAGAATTCTCGTCGTTCAGCTGTGTCAATACCTTTACAACAACAGCAACAGAGTCATTTATCATCTGCAAAATTAACATCATCAGTGAATACTCCAGTTCGTTCGACAACTATTAATCAAGCAAGTACACCAAGTGCAGCAACATTTCATGCTCGATTAAATAAAGCTGAAGTTACTGTTGAACATATTGGAAATCAATCAACTAATAAAAATATGAATCAAACAAAGCAGACACCCATTATTCAATTGAAATCTTTGGTTAAACCATATAAATATATGTATCAAACAATGTATAAACGTGCTCATGGTGAATATTAGTTATTTATATGAAATATAATTCATAATATTGTTTTTTTGTAGTACTTAATAAGCAAATAGAAGAATTTGAAGATTTATATTTAAATATGATTAATAATAAAGAAAATGAAAAATCAAGTATTATTCTTTATCCAATTGGAAATGCTGTTCAAGTAAAAAATTGTTCAAAAGAATCTATCGTTTATATATATATACATATATTGATTAGGATGAAGTACATCTTGTCGGTCGTATTGTATGTGATTCAGCTGGTCAATTAAATAGTCAATCGATAATACTTGAAGGTTCATCTCGAACGTCGAAATGTAATCGTGTTCGTCTTGATGTTTCATCATTACCTAGTTTTTCATTATTTCCTGGACAAGTATATCAAATATAATTCTAAATCAAAAATTAAATTTTTCTTATTAATCTAGATAATACTTGTTTCGGGTATTTATACAAATGATGGATGTTTTCATGCTAAACAATTAATTGATGTAAATATAAAAAGATGGAAATTTTGAAAAAAAGAAAATTTAAAATATAATCATTTAGCCACCATTAATTCCAAATGAAATCGAAACAAAAATAAAACATGATTTAAATTTTATGATTGCTGCTGGTCCATTTTTACTTGCCAATGGAAATTTTAGTGCATTTGAAGAACTTATTCGACGAGCAGAAGAAGATTCATCAATTCAAACATTAATTTTGGTATTTAATTTTTTTCTCAAGATATAATTTGTTAACGAAGTAATTATTTTCTAGCTTGGACCATTTATTGATGAACGTTCATCGTATATACAAAATTTACAAGACAAAACTTACGAACAATTGTTTAATGAAATAATAGAAAAAGTACAAAGGTAATTAATTAATCTATGAAACATTGTACGTAATATATATTGGCACTATAATACGAGAAACATTTCACAAGGTGAAAGTTCTTCTGCCTACTTTAAAATCATAAGAGAAAAAAAGTATAAGATTAAAGACAGTAGCAGTAGGCATGACTGATTTTAATTGTGAACAAAATATCATCAGAAATATATTTTTATGCTAAAGATCATGAAATTTTATTTGTGAAATAATAGATAAGACTAATGTGCACGCCCAAGCTAATAAAGGAAGAGATTTAAACTCAATAACTCGACAACGGTAACAGATAGCTATCTTTGGTTTCAACAGATCGAAAGAAAAGAAGTCTAGACGCCTTTTTGTCTGATAATATACACGATAAAGTTATTTTAAAACTCACCGTCGTGGCCAAAAATGCATGAAAAATGGTAATTTGTTTTAAGAAAATTTCGAGGAAAAGTCAACATATTTGCTAAAAATCAATAAATTTCTATATAATTTGACTGAGCAGATACTCGATTTAGTTTGCTCAGTATTGACATATGAGAAGATAATTAGCTGAATCGTACCTTGTAGTGTTGCAACTGGTAGCGTTTTCTTGTTACCACGACAGAACCGAACTGACCAGTAGATTCGCATGAGTCATTTTTCACATTTCTCATTCGGTAAGAGTTAAGTCAACATCTCTATTAGTCATACTTGATTCTGACTCATTACAGAAATTGCGTAAGATCTGTCTTTCACTTTTATAGCACTTTCGTGAAACATGATTGTCAACAAACGTTGACGTATATGGCGGAAAATCAATCTTATTTTCTGTAGCTTGCTCCAAAGACCACAAGAAACATACCAACATTCTTTTAACCTACTGTCAGACTGTGCAAGAGATTTCTATATGTCTGCAGTAGCCTAGTGGGTTTTCAACCCCGTCATGGTCTGTCAAATGGACGATGATGTTTCTTCAAAGGAAAAAAAAGGGATCATTCTGTACTTCAGGCGTATACAAAAACTGTCTTTTTTCACTTCTTAGCTATGTGTAATCTAGTATCAACATGTGTCACTATCATATTAGTTTAAGTTCAGTTTATATAAGTCTCTTGGATACGAAAGACTAACTTCTTTATCGTACTTCACTGATACTTAAATCTTGAAATACAATTTAGTATTCGGTCCTTAGTGTCAAACAGACTTTCATAAAATGAACTCAAACTAATATGCTCGTGACACAGTTTGATAGTAGACTTGAAATAGCTAATAATGTAGGGTATTTTTGTTTTCTTTCCATGAGTTTCCCACAATAGTTATAATAGTTTTATCATGTTTAATATTTTAATTCAATAGAAACTGTGCTGAAAGCTTTTCGTTCACTATCTATTCCTATATATTTTGTCTCTTTTGATATCGATCGATGGCCATTAGTTTTTTATACAACTACAAATTCTGTATGAACTTTGTAAAATAATGAAATATTCGTGAGACTTTAAAATTCTGATTCAACTGTAGCTGTACTCTGTGTCTCACAATAGATTATTCACTCAATAGAAATATTCTAATGCATGTTTTCTCATAGAACCAGTTATTAGCATCAGTAAAAACTAGTTTGACATGCGAAAAAAAAACATTTCTATGATCAATTCTTTGAAAAAAAAGATGTGAAAACTCGAAAAAAACTCAATGCTGGCCGGTAAGGAATCTTGATCGGATGAGCCGTTTACCACTACCGGTTGCAACATTGCTACCGTGATCTATAGATCTGAAGTACATGTCAAAATAAAAATTTCTATCGAAAGAAAAGACCATGCTCATACATTTTGTTGGAATGTTTCGCAAAGATGATGAATTTTAAAATAAGGTTGTCTAATAGAGTATTACATAAGAAGACGTCGGGAGTTCTCTTATTTCAATTACTGAAAAATCACAGATCGCTAGATGTTGTCATTGCCGAGTTATTGAACTTGCATTCACTTCTCTTTAATTCCAGTGCAGTGGCTATTTATATCATTTATTAAATATGATAATAATATCTTATATATTCATGAAAATTGATCATACCTCATTTTTCTAGGATGATCTCTATAGAATTCACGTATCTCTAACTGAAATCATGATTTGTAAAATAATCTACACGAACAACTCATTCTTTCCTAAATAACGATCGTGTAGCAAAAAGCTTCCAATTAGCCTCCTTAGTCATTTACCTTCAAAAACTTATTCTTTTCCTGTATCTAATAAGAAATTCGAAGATAATTTTACTTGATATATAATTATATAGTAATATTTGTATTTATTTCAGTCTTCGAATAAAAATAATTCTTATTCCATCATTGCGTGATATCCATCATGATTCAATTTACCCATTATGTCCATTTTCAATTAATGAAAATAAAGATTCGGTTTGTTAAAATTTTAAACAAAAATTTTAAAATTTTATTCAATTTATTTCTTAGACAATTTTCTATGGTTGTGAGCCATCAGTTTTATCAATGGATGGTCTTCAATGTGCAATAACATCAACAGATATTCTTTGTCATTTAAGTTCAGAAGAAATTAGTTTGTAGGTTTAAAAATAAATGAAATAATTGTTTTTTTTTTGCAAAAAAATTATCTTAAATAGAAATCAAACAACAGAACGTATGTGTCGATTAATTCGTCATTTATTTCAACAACATTCGTATGTATTCGAGAAAAAACGAAATTGTGCATTTCAATTTATTAACTAAATCATTTTCTTCGAATAGATTCTATCCATTAATTCCACCAAATGAATCAGTTTCAATTGAATATGAACAAGCAATAGAATATGCAAAAATCGATTCACTACCTCATCTATTTATTACTTCATCTGATCTTCGACCATTTATTAAAGTAAGACAAAAATATAAACACTTAATATCTTCAGCTTGATTTAATCAATCAGACCCACTGAAGAGTATTTCACGAGAGCACTCTTTCAACTGATAACCTCCGTTGAGGCTCATATTTATACTGATTGTTAGAACCCATAGCACAGATAAAAAGATATGTGCCATTAGCGCTTTCTTCTTGTGTTATGGTAATTTTACTCGATTTTTCAGCCCATTGTAGGAGATTATGAGAAAAACCGAATCAAAGAATTTCAGTCTGAAGTTTTACCCAAGGAATAGATTTCATAATCATTATAACATCCTTAGGTTTCAGTAAAAGTGGATACTTTTATGTCAAGATAACAGTGTTGCAAAGCCGCTGGTTTCTCGCAAAAGATTCGAACAAGTCTCATTTTTTTTTGAGTATACAATATCTTGAGAAGAAACCATCCATTTTTGCTGAAACTTTTAGGATATTATAAGGATCATGAAATCTATTCCTTAATATAGTTTTTCTTGTAATTTCCTACAATAGACTGAAAGTTTAATGAAATGATCATAACTACAGAAAAAAAGCACTGAACATTAACTGAGGTTATCAGTCGGATATGGAATTTTCAGCTGAATTACTTCCTGAGAAATGAACACCAAAGCGACCAACAGAGTCTCGATCGCGAAAGATGAAGCAGAGTTATGATGTGTAATAGCTCTTCTCACTATCAGTTCTATGGCTGACGTATAGAAGGAGATTATGGCCTGGTCAACCGATCATAATGTAAAATATCCAGGGCTTATGAACGTCAGGATAAAATTTCTAGCGAAAACAGTCACATGAAACGACTACATAACGATACCTGCGTGAACTCATAAGCTTCTTCTTTTCTCCAGTTATCAGACCTCAGAGTGAAAAAAGTTGCCATAGATCATAACTCGTCTTCAGCTCAAGCAAACGAGGCTAGGTTCATCTCACCGATCTATATTTCTAAGGTAGTATATCTGCTAAAAATCTCACATGTCTAGCTTAAAGAATTGCTGAGAAACAAAAAAAACAGTTCGATTGGTTAAAGCAAGCTAAAGCTATTGAATGTTTCTATGGTTTATTCTTTAAATAAAATGTTTTTGTTCTATGTCAATAGTTTATTGATTCTGTATGTGCAATAAATATTGGTCGATTAATTAAAAATCAAGATTCAACAATGATAGATAATGCAAGTGGAACATATGCAAAAGTTTTTCTTAGTAAAACTGATGATGATATTAGCAATGGTACTATTTTAAATGATCATTTACATATTCAAATTCTTCGATTATAAATCAGATATTCAACATTGTCTTTGTCAGATATATTGTTATTTTTTGTTTGTTATTATTCTTGTATTAAATAAAAAGAATAAAAATTTATTTAAAAAAACGTATATATTTTAATTTATTGAGTTTTAGAAAATTTCTCCAGTTCATAGGCAAGATTTAACCAATCGTAGAAGATTTTAATTACATCAGATGATGGTTGTTGCCATATTGATTGATCGATTGCTAGAATTACATTTTTAAAAATAAGAATACAAGAAAAAAAGAAAGTATTTATAAGAGTTTACTTTTTATCAATTGTTCAGCACGATTCCAGAAATCATTTTGACCTTGTTCTTTTGTTGTTGGATCGAATTCTATCATTGTTGGGAAGAGAACATTAGCATACTAAAATAAAATAAGTTTATATACACAAAATCTACAATAAAAGATTTAGATTTTATTGAAAAACTAATTTGTCTAGTTAAATTCAGAGAAATATTTTCTATTATTGTTAATAGAAATATTAATATTTTTCATGAATAATCATACTTGAATTTCTATATCAAAAGGACTTCTGTTTCTAAATGTATGAGAAAATACAAATCTCGATTCTATAGATCCCAACAATTAAAAGCATATTATCTTTTAGAAGTTGTTCTATACATTTAATTTCGCGAGTACTCGATAAAATCGACTTACATCAGTTGGATTTAATTCTTTCTGTTTAACAACTCGACTAATAAGAGATAAAATTTGTTTTATTTGATCATTCCATTTTGATTTATTATTAATAAATTCTTGTATTTTTTCTGATGATAATTGTTTGATTTTATTACATGTATCCATATACCAAATACGATCAAACAGATAATTTAAACGCATTTCATCCGATTGTTTTTCATAAGTTAAAAATCGTTTTGTTGTATCATCAATCAATTCTTGTTCTAATTCATCAACAGCCATATAAATACAACGATACATCGATACTAAATCTTGTTTTTGTTCATTTGGTAAATCTTCTTGTTCACCTAGAAAGAATTTTTAAAATTAAAATTCTAAAAGAAATCTTTATTGTAGTTTTTTTAACTAACCAATATTTGCATCAATTAAAGCAAAACAATAATTATCACGTCCACGCATTGCTTGTATCATATGAGTTTGACCAAGAAACGATGTTATTATTGATTGACATGTTACAGCAGCATGTTCCAAATTATATCTATAGTTTTATTTTATTTAGTAAAAAAATATTCTTGAACAATTTTCTCTTACATAAATACTTGTTCACGACTGTTAACTAGTTTTGGCGTGCTAAAAGTTGTTAAATTTCCATTTGAATACGTGAATACATGTTTAAGTAAACGTTCTGTCGGAGTATTCATTGACGTAGGTTCATAAGTATAATAATCAACAATTGAAATCTAAATAAATACTTATTAAAATGAAATGATTGTGAATTATTAGTTTCGATTCAACTAACGAGGGAATCATCCGAGGTGTCAAAAAGCTTTTGAGCTGAAATTTTGCCCACAAGTAGGGGATGCATAGACTAGAAAAAGCCTAAAAGGATATGAGCCCAAGTTGGGATTTGACTGAGATATCGACTATTTACCATAATTTTCCTATAGGATCCTACTTGTCCAATAAAATCAAAGTTTTGAATTTAGGCCTGAAACTTTGTCCACACCAAGACCCCAATCAGACAAACTTGCCTACAAAGTTTCAGAACTCTTGGATAGACTATCTCCGAGATATGAATCTGCCAAAATATCTATGTGAAACATTATATCCATAAAAAAGCGTCTTTATGCTAACATACTAGTATCTCGGAGATAGTCTATCCCAGAGTTCTGAAACTTTGTAGGCAAGTTTGTCTGATTGGGGCCTTGGTGTGGACAAAGTTTCAGGCCTAAATTCAAAACTTTGATTTTATTGGACGAGTAGGATCCTATAGGAAAATTATGGTAAATAGTCGATATCTCAGTCAAATCCCAACTTGGGCTCATATCCTTTTAGGCTTTTTCTAGTCTATGCATCCCCTACTTGTGGGCAAAATTTCANAAAAATTTTTTAACGACCTTCCAATTTATCGACGCCCCCCCCCCCCCATTTTTCCGACTTCGGAACATCCTTGGAAGTAAAATATGGTAACTTGAGTTCTACTGAAACAATGCATGAAGACAATATAGAAGTTCAAATATTTAATCCTTCATTATGAAAAAAAAAATCGAACATCAGAATGAATACAACTACCGCAGCATAATTCTACTATTTTTATGACTAATTGAAAATTAATCAATAACTTGTTCGAAATTCATTTGAAAATCACGTTCAATCGACAAAATAGAAAGATCACTTAATCTTTCATCAGCTATACAATTTCTTATACGTGTTTTGATGAACTTCATTTTTTAAAAAACATGTATGTTTTTAAAGATACTGCCTTCTCTGCTCTTCCACTAATTCTTACATATTTTTTTAATATAAGTGTGAAAAGGTTCAAAGAACAAGCGAATATTCACTCTCTTGCTCTACTCTGTTAGAGAGAAGCAAAGTATACAATACTTCATCCTCCAAATGCAGTGGCACAACCAGGACTTTTAGACCAATGGGCAAACCTCCATTGTATTGAAAAACTACGATGGGCAAAATGGGCAAGATTTTTATCGACAGGGCAGAACTTTTTCAAACCCAATGAAGTACTAATAACTTAAAAAAGAGACAAAAATGAAAATGAGATTATTTTATTAATACAAAAAAGGACCAGGTGTTTTTATTGACAAAAAAATGGCATGAGATCCTTTTAATCAAATGTACATGAAACTCAGATTTGAAGTCTGAGTCAGATGTGTTCTAGTGTATTTTAATGTTTCTTTCTGCGAAGAAAAATTACCACCGAATAACCTATTAGTATTAGGTCGCTTTTCATTCAACATACGATAGTATTAGTGCGTTTTAAAACAGAACCACAAAATTACAAATGCACAATTGTATATTTGTATACTTGTTCTTTTCTTTTTTCTTTTTTGCCTTTGCTTATGATATATTATCCTAGGAGAAGAAACAAGGTGATCAACTGGACAAGCTAGGCTATAGTTCGTTTGCCGTTATACCAGTCTTATAAGAAGAGACAAAAGAAAAAAGTAAAGAAAAGAAATATTTACGCTTGTGAACAAGTAAAATTTCAATGGGTGAAAACTTGCTAGTAAAATTTTCAATGAGCAATTGTCCCTTTGCCAACCCCTGGTTACGCCACTGTTCAGATGATAAAAATTTAAGTTATTAAAATTGACAATAGAAATTTTCGTAGAGAGGGCTGAGCCCCCTCTGGTTACACCACTACCTGACACCCCTACTCCCTTCGCCAGCAAACGTACTCAATTATCGTTAGCATTCTTCCATCGACAGTTTACTAGCGAATCATACCTGACCAACGTTAGCTTGCTCACTAGAATTCGCCCGGGTTCGAAAACGTTAAGATTCGGGCCCGATAGGCTCTACTACCCATGTCAATCGCTATGGAGACGTTTTCAACCACCTTGGTCGTCATCCTGCTAACACAGTTGCTAGGATCTAGGAGAGAAGGCGTACAAATCTCGATTTAAATTTATACTCATTATTTTGTTCCACAATACACCTAAATTACACAAGTACTACAGATATTATGTTCAGATAGCCTATGAAAAATTACAGACAGCATGTCCTGATAGTCCCTGAAAATTTACATAGAATATGTGTTACAATTGAAAATAATGCTAACGTAATGCTAATACCTTAGCATTAATAAATTCTGATGCCAATAATGCTAAAGCATTAGGCTTAATGGTTACTGTTGATGTTAATTCTAATGCAACACTCCTAATCGCCGAAATGTGAACTTAATTATGATAAACTTATGAAATACAAAATGAAATGATGTAAAATTTAGTGGTAGTAGGAAGATCGAAAGTTTAGAGAAACAATGTGCCTACATATTTTGACTGACTACTGGTCATCAAAAATTTCAAAACCCTCAATTAGAATCAAATCTTTTTTGCTCTTTCGAAATCTAGATTCAGAATTTTTGTGAAACCCATCGGTTGCGATTTATGAGCTAATCTTTGCAAGATCTTTAAATAAAGCTTGGAGGGAGAAAGTTGCATTAACAGATCTAAAGACGGAGGATGGGATGGTATCCTGTTTGACGTTAGTTCTATGATGATTTTCAACAATTTTTTCGTACTTTAGTATTTCAGTCGTAAAGACGTTCATTTCGCTTAGTTTCACTTCCTTTTGTTTGACTACATCAAATTTTCGGATCAGTATTTAAACCGTAGATGTCTACCAGGAGGATTCAATTTGCATGAAACTTTCAAGACATGTTGGGGTTGCTGTGGAGAGGCGTGGTAACATTTTTAGCCCTATATCGTGACGTTTTCTGGAGATATTGATCAAACAAGGGTCAAAAGTAGCTCATTTGACAACACAAATTTCTCGGTGGGTCTTCATTCTATAGACTGAAATTTTTCTTGTCTGAGAGCATATGTCATGATGCAAAGTGCTATAGGACGTTTTTTCAAATTCTTACTTTCCAAGGGAAAAAGGAAATGAATAGTTCAACGTCTCAAAAAGTTCACAAAAAATGATTCTCTAACTATAAAAAATACTCTTTAATATAATATTAACATAGCTTAATTCGACAAAAAGGCTCTATCAATTCCGTGTACCTTGACATACTCTTTCAAACAAAACAAAATGTTATGGGCTATGATGAAGCCCTTTCGAGAATTCTAGTTTACACGATCAAAAACCTATAAAGAGAAAAAAAACGAAGAAGATTTTCGGTTTTTTTCGAAAACAGCTTATTTTTCAAATAGAAGATCACGGAAATCTTTAAAAATTTTCGGAAAAGAAACGAGAAGCCGAGTAAAAACTTTTGTCGTTTATGAGAGATCAGATCACGGGCTATCTGCCTCTGTATTTATCTTAATTTCAATTATTCTGACAAAAAGTGACTTTGTTGAGGGGAAGGGTGACCTTAAAATCTCTGCTTGTTCTCTTAATCAGTCAAAAACTGAAGAGACATTGTGTCTCAAAACTTTCAGTTCACTAATTATTTATGAAAATAATATATGTATTCAGAAACTTTTTAAAAATATATGACGGGTGTGTAATCCCATGGGATGGGACGGAAAATTTTGCGTCTCATTCCATCTCATATCGGACGAAATATTTGAAGATAATCCCATCCCACATGAGGCAGAAAATTTTGCATATGTCCCATCTCATATGGGACAGAAAATTTTGAAGACAGTTCTATCCCACATGGGACGATGTTTTTCGTCCCATTCAATCCCATGTGGAGTCCTGCTTTCAATTATTAACTTCATGCTTTTTTACCATTTCATTGTGCGCCTAGTATTATTACTCTTTAATAGAGATGCTCTCTCGTCGATTATAATGATTAAGATTATGCTCAGACATCATTCATAGTATATAAATATTAATATCATTTCTATGTAACACTATGCTTAAGTAGATATTTATAAAATAAAATGTATAAAACGAAAAGTCTCAAAAGTCATACTTTAACAGCACTTGGAAAATCAATAACATAGATAGAATATGTTAAATGTCCATGTTCTTCTATATCCCATTTTTTCAATGCTTTTGGAAAATCATATCCACCTTCTTTAGCCATACGAGCAAGAATTTTAAATGGATCTCGTTGAAACATTGCATGTAATGATTTCGTATCAAGATATCGTAAATCAATATCATCCATAATAGTAAAACCGGGAACTTCAAACAAAATTTAATACAATCATTTGATCTTTCTTGTTTTGTCATAAATTTATATTACCTGTTAAATGCGATCGTCCTAGTCTTCCTCGTATTCCACCATGTATAACTTCAAGTGGTCTTAAATATTGATTGATTTGTGTATATAAATCAAGAAAATCATCATTAATAAGAACATTCTTTAAAAGAAGATTGTTTTTATTATTTCTTCCTTATATCTGAAAAAAAAATTTACTTCGATATTAAGATATTCAACTTGACTTTTAATATGATCAATGGCTTTTAAAAGAACAAGAGAGCCAAGTGTGCCAATATTATTATTACCAAACTTTGATTATATAATAATTTTTATCAAACAATATTATATATATATATGAGAGAATTGCAATTTTTATCGTACCGTTATAATCTTATATGTAAAAGTTTAATATCTCGAGTTCCTGTCAATAAATCTTTACAACTTTTTTTACATCAGGTTCTTCTAATAAGTCCTCAATAATATATACAAAAATCACAATTTTATCTCGTAATATTGTACTAACAAGATTCGAAAAATAGGTTTTTATTGCTACCTATTAATAAAAAAGCGCCGTTTAACCAATTTGTTCTCTTCTCATTTGAAGTTCATAATTTGGCAAATTTATAGTAAACAGTCTATGCTTTTCGAATATGAGATTGATTGAATCTTTCATAGCAATTTTTATTATACTTTTTTCTGTATATTAGATGTATAGTTATTTCTCAACTTTCTGTCAGACGCAAAAAAAAAATAATCTTGATATTGAACAATCTATCTAAAAATGATCGGGTTGATGTTGCGTGAAAGTCAGTAAATAAAACGGTTAAAAAGTATGAGAAAATTGTATTCATTCTTGTTTATAAAAACTGTAAAATAAGATTTGGAAATTTTATTTTCATGCAAGATTTTTCAATTTATTTGATGTATAACTCTAATATGATGCAGCAATTTCAGATGAAACCTTCATTATTTTATTCATTCATTGTAATCAACTAACACTGAAAATATCACCATAGGAAAACTTATTGTTCGTGAGAAAAAGAAAAATTAGCATCAATATGTCACACGAAATTACGGAATTTTTAATACTTCATAACTGAGATCAAAATCAAGGTAGTTCTGTAGATTACACACACACTCCTCATCTATGCACCATGTTGTGTCTGGTGATGCGTGGATAGAGCGCGCATAAATCAATGAAAAATCCTCTATGGAAATCATTTGGTGTTAATAGCATCATATCATCAATATATAGGATAAAATATATTATAGTCGAGATTTATCAACCTTCAAATCTCAACTATATTTCGAGCCGCACAAAAGAAAATTCATTCCTACATATAATCTTAAGTAATTTTAATGCGTTTAGCAAAATTCTCATATTTCAAAAACTATTTAAAATATAAGCAAAAAGTCTTATTCAAACTTTTTTTCATGGGTTTTTAGTGGTTCTCGTATATCAAGAGTCATACTTATAGTAATAAACGAAAAAATTTATTCTTTTTCTCCTCTCTCATATAGTACAATCAAGGGCACTACTTATCACCTATCAAATCAAAAGTTCTTTTTTTCGTTCGTTTTTTTAAACGGTACAATTAAATTACAGTTCATTCATATATATATATATATTCTTACCCAAAGTTTTTTTAATCTACGATTCATTTCAAGTTTTGAAGCAAATATATCTGCTCCATCTTTTTCAATACAATTATTTGACAAATCAAGTTCAATTAAAGTTTCATTGTTTGATAACATATTCGCAATAAGTATTGCACCTTGATTACCCAATCCATTCATCATTAGATCAAGTCTTTCAAGTGATTGATTATTCTTTTATGGATATACATGTATGCATTGAACAGAATATATATATATATATAAATCAAATTCTATTACTTTCAAACTGTTACATATAGGACGTATGTCATAATCACGAATCATATTCCAGCTTAAATCAAGAATTCTTAATTCAGGTGCGTCTTCTAATTTAAAAAGAAAAACAATATTTCGAGCAATTTTTAAGATCATTCTATCCCTTAAAAAGAGTCAATTTTCGCCAGGAAAAAATCGCAATTAAAATAAATGCATGGGAAGATAGTCCGAAGTTTGGTCTTTCAAAAAATGATATGATTTGTCTTATTCGGCACTTCGTTTTTTTTTCTCTATTTATGAGTTTTTTGATCGTGCATTTCAGATTTCTCTGTAGGCCTTAATTCTTTTTCTTTTGTTGGCAAAAATATCGTTCTGCTAATTTTTGGTACCCTTACAAAAAACACGTGTTTTTTACGGTATCTTCGATCTTTTGACTTTTTTAGTGAGCGGACAAAAAAAAAATAAAATGATAATCACTACAAACTGTGTTCAGTGCCTGGAAAAAGAAATATGAGCTTGATCGAGTAAATAGAAGGTAAAAGTTGGGTTTTGCTGTACTCATCAAGATCTACCTGCCTTGTAAACTTCAAATTTTTTCCGTAAAGAAGGTGGGAAGGGGGCAGTGGAACGTAACTTAAATAAAATGTTTATTAACTTAATACTAATCCAATATTTTTACATGTTATTGTACCAAGTTGATTTCCATTTAGATATAATTCTTGAAGCATATCACCTCCCTTAAATCTTCCATTTAATATTTATAAAAATATGTTCTAAATTACTTGAATGATTTTTTTAAGAATTGGTCCATCGGAATCAATAAGTTCACAAGCTAATTAAAAAAGAAAATAAAATTTTGTTTTCTTCTTATAAATTTAATTTACATGATAAATTTAATTTTTTAATAATCGACATTTTTGTTTCATCATTTATAAATAATAAAGATAAAATTTCAATTCCTTCTGTTTTAATTGGATTTTTTGAAATATCCTTAAAAGATAAAAAGAAAACAATAATTCTTTAACGCAAAACAAACATTTATTATTTTTTTCTGACAAGTTCTTCAATTGTATAATTATCTTTTAATGTTTCTTGAAGGTAGACACAACCTTGTGCTGTAATATTATTACCATTCAAACGAATACATTTCATTTTTGTATGAATCTATGTAATTTGAGACAAATGAGAATTAATATTAAAAAAGAAAAAAAAAATCTTTATCTACACGTAGCGCAAGACAAAGAGCTTTTAGATCAACATCATTTATTGACATTTCAGATAAATCAACTATATTCATATTTAATCCTTCAATAACAGTATTAAATGGATGAATTTGATATTGTTTACATGCTTGAAGATATACTTGAATAGGATCTTGTTTATTAATAAACGTGTCTGAGAGACAAAAAAAAGAAATATCTCATTTTTTTTTTACTTTTTATAAGTATTCTTTAAATACCTATATCATTTAATTCTGAATCATAATCTGAATCATTAAATTGAATTTCATTAAGAATACGTTTATATTTTACATTTCTTTTTTCATAATTAGGATCAAAACTTATTTGATAATCTTCATGTGTTAGATCAGGTAGAGAATGAGGTCGAAATTTATAATTAAATGTATTTGATAGATTACAACCGAGTAATTGTGTATGAATACCATCATCCGGTAATAAAGCATGAGCTGGAACAAATGTATAGAGTAGAGGATGAACAAGATCACCTGTATATTCTCTATATATATGTTATATACATTTGATTGAAAATTATGCAAAGATTGAATCTTAATCAACCTATATTGTGTTTTAT